CCTGACCTCTACACATCTTGGCTTTGGATTGGGGCTAGGGTTTGGACTATGACAATTATATTGTTTCATAGCCCTAAGTCCCCCATTGCCCCCATTCAGATGTCCTGTGCCACCCTGCCCTGCTTCCTGGTTCCACACCTACCTGCTTCCTTCCTGTTCTGTCCCTCCTGCTGGTTTCCTGTGGAAAGAGGCTGGGATGGGTTGTTGACACTCAGCAACAGGGGTAGTCACTTCCGTCCTTCTTGGCAGCAAGTGGCACTTGGGTTGGTCAACTAAAGAAAGGACAGGTTTCTGAGATCCTAGAAAATGGCTTGCACTCACTCTTCCAAATCCGCTCTAATTTGCATGGCATTCTCACAGAAAACAGTGCTCAGAAATTGGACTTCTACTCCTCACCCTTCCATTCACCCACCTCCACCACGGCCTAGAGCTGGAACTCACCTAACTAACCTGTCCTAGTCCCCATAAAGGACCGGTAGAACTGCTGCCTCCATCCGTGCACAGGTGCAGCTTGGCTGCTGAACTCTGCTTCCAAATCCACCCCGTTCAGGAAGACAGAGCCCAAGAGGCCCTGAGAACCGGAGTGCTGGAAAATGGGATAATTCTCATGGACGGTGGAAGGGAGAAGGGGGTTCTTGCCTCTCAACGAGTTATCTTCCCGATCCCCAGAGTTTTTCTTGGGCTTGAGAGTGGCCTTGGGGCTTCAGGACGCGACGCTGTGTGGCTACTGTGTCCATTAGCGTTGCCAGGCTGGCTGCTGGGCGTGTAGAGGAAAGGGATAAGGAGTCTCACCCTTACCGCGAGCCAGTGTCTGGGCAGATCTGGATAGAGCCCGCTGGCCAGCACCTCATCCCTACCCCGATGTTCAACGCCTGCCTTTGCCCGCCCCGGTAGTGGGGGTTCTTCCTCTCCCACCTCCCCTTGACCCGCCCAGCTCGGGCTGGAACAGAGGGGCAGCTCAGGGATGGGCCTGGAGCTGCAAACAGAAGGGGAAGCATTTGTGGGGTTTCGGGTACGAAGGATGCAGACTCCACGGTCCTTCGTCAAAGGTTTAGTGCCAGGACCGAATTCCCGCGGGCGCACAGCAGAGCCACATTTATAATAAATGTTCAGTTTTGTCTTGAATGGAAAATCCCTTCTTCCAGTCCACAGTTCCATGCCTAGATGTTCATCCCTTGATCCTCCTATTGGTCTCCTAGGCCCGCCCCCTTCCTGGATGCCCCGCCTATCCCCTGGATGTCCCACCCCGTCCCGTACTCCAGCTCTAGGCTTCATTTGGCCCCTAATTCCTTCTTTTCTCCAAAATCATTTCCTTGAGTTTCTCCTCCCTACAATTCTCCCATGTGTTCCTCCAGTCCACTCTCTTCTCTTTTATGTTTGTTTATTCCCTGAGTCCCAGACCACACCCCCATCCCTCTCAGCCACGCCTCTTTCTCCGCCCCTTTGCACGGCCCCGCCCCTCTACTGTGGGCTCCTTCAGCCGGTGGCCAGGAGCGCCCTCTGGTGTTTGCGCATGCTCCTTGTTCCCGACTGCAAAGTCCTCCAAAGGGACCTTCTAGGCTGCGCACCCGTCGTCCCAGCTCGGGTCCGCCCGCCCGCAGCGTCTCGTTGGTGCTGCCGGGTGACCTTCGACCCCGCGGCTGCGGGGCGGAGCGGGGAGGCCTTCGCTCCGGGCGGGCGGCGGCTGCTGCTACGGGACCCGGGAGCGGGGCCCGGCGCCGCCCGGGCAGCGGGGCGATGTGAGTCAGGGCGCGGCGGGTCGGGGATGAGGCGGCCCCGCTGAGACCGTGCGGTGCCGCAGTCTCCGCTCCCACCGTAGGAAGCCCCGGGCAGGCGGGTGGTGGTGCCCGGGTCGGGGGGGCGGGGATCCAGGGACAAGGCGAGGCCCCACCTCCCCCATTCCTTCTCAACATCTGGAAATCCCTCTATCTAAATCTTCCCCTCACTCTCTGGAGAAGCTCCGCAGTCCCCTGCCCCTCAGCACAGCAGCACACCTCTTAGAACCCGTCAGAACCCTTTTACTCCTTACGAATTCCTCTCCTACGGCCAGAGGCCCAGCATTCTCCCCTGGATGTCCCCAAGTGATTCCACTCCCCGGAAATCCCGCTGACTCTTCATACCCGTCATTCCTGCACCATGCCCAAATCCAGAAATCTTGCCATGTTTTCACAAGCCCCTACATTCAACCTGAGTCCCCTTAAACCTCTTTAACTTAATCCTCACCTGCCCCAAGCCGGAACCCCCGCGCCCCCATCCTACCTAGTGTAATCGCCCTTATTGGGCTGAGCTGTGTCCTGATATATTAGAGATGGGGACAGAAAATGCACCCTATAGAGTCCTTGATTTTGCTCCCATATTGCTTCTTGGTAGCTTAAACTTCAGTATTTTTATCAACTACTCTAGGTGCACATTTTACTCTGCCTGCTTCTTCAGATCAAGGAGATGGGGGTTGCTTTTACCTGAAAGTTGTTCAAGGTGGATAGGGCCCTCTTGTGTGTCCAAGCGGCTCATTGCTGAGCCTCCAGTTGTTTTTCGGAGGCTGTGAATCGCAGGGTCGAGATTATGCATTTTACTTCTGTGGAACAGCGGATGAATTCAAACAGTGTACCTTTGAGTTGACAGCACAACTTCTTACCCTCTAGGCCAGCAGAGCACCCTTAGGATGGGGCCCTAAGAGCTAATATTGTTTGGCCAAAGAAGGCTGGTGGGATTTAAGGGTCAGCTTGTCTGTCAGTGGCTCAGATGCCTTGAAAGTTGTTTATTGTTAAGTCCATCAGAACTTAAAGGACAGATCTTTCAAGCCCCCAAATGTAAAATTGAAGGAGTCTTCCCTAAAAGAGGGAAATGTCTGTTTTAATGATGTTTATCCTCCCTTTACAAGTTCCTTAAGCTAGGCACTCCACAGTTTCTTGATGTGGAGAGAGGATGTGTAGATAGAGGGTTAATTTACTATCTCTCTGATACCTGGTAGTAATGAAACAGACCAGAATATCAGGTTCCTGACTCTCAAGCCAGTGCTTTTCCCAAAAAGTACTATCTTAGTGTCATTTTGAGAAAGCTCTTTGAGGAGTCAGTTTTCCGCCAAGGTGAAGCGGTATTTTGTGGGGGGGGGCGGTTTGAGAGGGGCTCTGGGCAACTTACAAGGTCATGAGCTGTCTGCAGTGTCAAGCTTAATGATGATGTTTGAAAGTCTCTTGTAGGGTTTTTGGTGGATACCCTGCCTGTGATCTCTCTCTTCACTTAGAACGTACGATATTTCAGGACTGACAGCAGCTCAGTTTTATTAACAATTAGGGACAAAGGTGTCCGCTAACTTATAGTCTCTGTCTCTCATGCTAGGTGAGCTCCAGGTGTGTCCCAGAGGGATCCAAGTGACTTCTCAACAAGCTGTTTGCCATGACACCACACCAAAAACGAGAATAAAGTGGGAGTCTTTTCTCATGCCCCTCCCATGGTCAGCTCCCCGATGGCCTGGGTAAGGTAAGAGCTGTGCACAGGAGGTAGTTTTCTGGAATTTCCAAAGTGGGAGGAGTGGTAAATGCAGGTCACTGGCTCATTCAAGACAGTTCCAAAAGGATGTAGAACTTGGACTTTTTGCATCATGTTGTAACTCCTAAGTTGTGGTTGGTGGTAGTTCATGTGTTTGCCTTTTCCCTTAGCTTGCTCAAGCTTGGGTGTGACCCTTTCACCCTAACTTCTGTAATAATCCCAGCTCCTTAGAGGGGAAAACAAACAAACAAACAAACAAAACCAGGCAGAAAAGGCCCCTGGTGTCACCTTCAGACAAAGCAGAGCAGACAAAATACTCTTATTTTTAATAAGACACAACAAATCAGAGTAATAAAAATCTCTTAATTGTTCAGTCTTTTGACTCACTCTGCGACAATAATATAATACCTCATTTGAAGAGGAAAAAACCCCTCATTGCCGTTGGATCAGAACCAGTTCATAGCTGACCTTCTAGCGGGTTTCTAAGGCTGGAAAGCATGACGGAGGAGACCGCCCATTTTTCTCCCTCAGAGCTCTTGATGGGTTTGCACCACCAGAGAGCTGCAGCTCGTGGGTTAGCAGCGCAGTCCCCTCTGGGCTGCACCACCAGAGCTCCCTTGACGAAAACACTCTACATTAGAGGTGATGGGGGAAGAGAAGAATGAGCTTGCATTGTGTGGCATGGAAAAGGAGAGGAGCAAGATTCAGCCTCAGCGTCTGGGGACCCAGTTTAAAGTATCTTTTCTGAATAGGGTGCTGGCACCCAGCTCCTTCTGCTCCGTATCACTTCTTTTTTTATTACGTTTGATCTTCTTGTTAAAAGTACTTTTGCCTTCCTCACCTCCCTTTTCTTCTGTGACACATCACTGTTTGGGAAGCCTTCCTTCTGGCCCTACTTTCCCAGCTGTCTAGGTTTCTCTTCCTTGTCACTGTGCTTATTAGCTACCATTAAGTCACCCCCAACTTATGGCGACCCATGTCCGGCAGAACTCCCTCCTGCCTGCTCATGCACCATCTCCTTGGGGATTGGACCACTGTGATCCATAGCGTTGTTGTTACTGTTTTTTTATCCATAGCATTTTTATTGGCTGATTTTCAGAAGTATGTAGCCACACCTTTCTTCCTAGTCTGTCTGACTTTGGAAGTATCACTGAAACCTGTTTGGCCACATAATAACATGCAAGCCTCCACAGGTCAGAATCGTACATATCTCTTGAGGTCCAGATGAAATGCAACCTCTGAGAACGTCTTGCTGTCCGTCCTCCCCTCAGTATTAATCCTTAACACGTTTTAACCACAATTAATGTTTACCCAACATGTATCCTGTCCTGGATTAAGAGAGTGAATTCTTTGAGGGGAAGGACTGTATCTTAACAGCTCTTTGGACAGAGCAAATAGTCAGAAAGAGAGGGTTCTGCTGGAGTTTCCAAGAGCGGAGGTTCTGGGGCAGCCCTCAGTGACCTGCCTATGTCCTCTGTTTTTCCCTAGGGGAGGCTGGCTGGTCTGACACCATGGGGAGCTGCTGCAGCTGCCTGAATAGAGACAGCGTCCCAGACAACCACCCCACCAAGTTCAAGGTACCCACCACTGCCTCCTTCCCATTATTCCCAGGATGACCACACGCTTGGGTTGCCTCGGCTTCCCTTCAGGGGTTTAAGTGACAGGCTGAGGTTGTGAGCTCATGATGACTTTTCAAGCTCAGGGCCTCTGAGATGCCCTGGAGAAAAGAGGCTCAGGCCCACTACTGTTTTTACAGTTCTTGCTACTAAAATTGTTCCCTTAGGCCATTCTGTTGTAGCAGTGTAGCCCTGTGACTTAAAACCAGTTAAACATACTGTCGTCTCAGTTCCAGTTGACCTGTGTGTGTCAGAGTAGAACTATGCTCCATGTGGCTCGTGTTTTGAAGCTCAATGGTCAGGCCTTTTTGAAATGCCTCTGGGTGGACTCCACCTGCCAACCTTTCAGTGGGCACCAGTTTGCTAACTGCACCTGCCAGGGACTGCTTTGTAACTTTCTGAGTAACTTTTTTTTGTTATGTCAAGGGTCTAAACTTATGAGTTAGTTAGTCCAGCCCAGAGGCCCACCACAGCAGTGAAATGCCCTTTCCCTTCTCTGTGGGTCTCCACTTTCTGCTGTACCAATCTGGGAGACCTCAGAATTCACGCTGCAGCAGCTATAGAGCGGAAAGAGCTTGCTTCAAGACCTGCCTCTGTCTGTCCTTTCTAGTCTCCATCTGTGAGTTCAAGTATGAGTTAAAGTATGCAAAGCGTTTACTGTAGGATTTAGTACATGGTAGTTGATGTGTATCGTCTGTCGGAACAGACTCCCAGCTGACCCTCCAGCAGGTTTTCAGAGGCAGTAAAAGGCGTGGGATGATATTGCCCAGCTTTCTCCCGGGGAGCAGCTGGTGGACTGAACCACATGCCTTTGCACAGCGCCTCACCACTGTTGTGTATTTGTGGTTTGCTTTGGAAAGCCAAGGCCAGGCCCATTGGATCTCTGTATCCCTGACCCTTCCCTTCTGCTTACATTCTGTGGGGAGGAGACTCCCTCTTCACCCCACGGCCTGTTGAGATAGACATTCTTACTTCCTGCCAGAAGAGGGCACTCTCAGCAAGGCTATACAATGGAAAGATGCCTTGGACTTAATGGGCCTAACTTAGGTTTTAAGATTGTGAATTTTCAGCTGAACCCTTTTCTCCATTGGTAATTGCACCATGGACAAATAAGCGGTGGACCGTCCAAAGTCATCTAACATTGGCCGTCTGTCAGACTTTGGTATTCCTTTGGTCATTTCTCCCCCTGTTGCCCGCCCAAATGAGGTGAGGCCCAGTGAGAAGGGATTGTTGTCTGGAGAACTGCACTGGGTTGTCAGCAGTGCACACACATACCCTAGTCCTCATGTGGCCTCTAGTAATGTCTGTGGCACGATCAAGTGAGACTGCCTTCCCTCAGCTCCAGCTCTGCGTTAGAAACACAGACCGCCTTGGGCTCAGCCACTGACTCTCAGTCCCCTTCCCTCAGGTGACGAATGTGGATGACGAGGGGGTTGAGCTGGGCTCTGGGGTGATGGAGCTAACACAGAGTGAGCTGGTGCTGCACCTGCATCGCCGTGAGGCTGTCCGCTGGCCCTACCTCTGCCTGCGCCGCTACGGCTACGACTCCAGCCTCTTCTCCTTCGAGAGTGGCCGCCGGTGTCAGACAGGCCAGGGTGAGTTCCAGCCCCCTCACCATGGGATCGGGGCTGGTGTACCTGCCACAGGCGCTGGAGCCTATGATACAGCTCAGCCAACTGTGGTCAAGTCTGCTGAGGCCTTTGAGAATGGGCCTTGACATCAAACCCAGCCCTCAGACCTGGCAGCTGTTGGCTGAAGGGGGCAGGATCTTGGCCAAGGGTACAGAGCATGTTGGTTTTTGCATTAAGGGAGCTAGGACTCTTCATAGCCTGGGTCCCTTTGCACCTGACATTACACAGCTCATGGGAAGAGCTTGGTGTCCCAGGCAGGAGTCTTCCCAGCAAAAGTAAGTGACCTCTTCTCCTTCTTTCCCTCCAGTTTCAAGGGTCAGATACCCTAGGCCTGTGAATAAGGAAGTCAGGCAGAAGGCGCTAGTTACTGTGAGGCCAGGTGGCTGGGGATGAAGGCTCTTGGGTCTCTACAGATTCACCCTAAGATGTTACACTGTGTCCCCCTTCACCTGTGGGTAGTAGGCTGTGATTACTCTCCCTCCCAGAGGTGGGGGGCATGGGCTGGTTCCATGAGGTCAAGGGTAGAGTCAACTCTGTCTCTTTAATGACGTGGCCAGGGCAGTTCTTTTAGGATCTCGATCTCAGCTTTGCCGAAGGAATCTGCCATGGGGCTGTCAACCAAACTGCAAGTCCAGGGGTGTGATTGCTGGAGGGCTTACCCCCACTGTGCATTTCCCCTGGGAGCTCATGAGGCTGAGGTGATTCATGCTGGGTGAGCAGGTAGGGGAGGAAGAGGCTCCCCTGCTCCTGGGGGTGTTAGATCCACACTTGGATCTCAGAGGGTCTGCACTAGACCATTGATGTTGTGTACCATTGAGTCAGACCTATCTACAGCTGACCCTCTTCAGGCTTTCAGAGGCAATCAATCGCTCGAGAGATTGCATATCTTTCTTGCAGAGCAGCCAGTAAATTTGAACCTCATGCCTTTGGGTAGACAGCAGATTCTGTACCACTAAGCCACCAGATCTCCCTGTCCTAGACCATTGCACCAGTTGCTCTCCAATTGATCCTGATTCATAGTGACCCCATCTACAGCAGGCATGTGAGACACACATATATGAACTGTGCTCCATAGGATTTTCAGTGGCTTATTTTTCAAAAGTAAATTGCCAGGCCTATTTTCCAAGGCACCCTTTGTTTACTCAAAACTCCAGCCTTTCAGTTAACAGGAACATGTGTTCCTGTTGCTGCCCCAGGACCCCCAGCCCCGGCCTGAGCTGTAAGGCTGCAGGTCTTCTCAATCTTTCCTAGCTCCTGGCCTGTCTTTGCAGGTTCATCTTAGTGCTCATCTCCCAGCCTTGTTGCAGTTATCTTTGTTGTGGACATGTGCACATGCACACCATGGGCAGTCCCCCACACAGAGGCGTGCAGAACCCCAGGACATTGGGGACCCCGTGAGTCACAGTGCCACTCCCAGTCCTGCTGTCCCCAGGGCTTTGGGGTGCTGCCTTGGAGTGAATGACTGTGGGACTAGCTGCATTGAGGAGCCGCACAGTTGCTGCACAGTGTCTTCTGTGTCCTCTCAGTCGTCTGCATAGTTTTCTTTTCTGCAGCAGAAGAGTTGGAGCCCCAGGAGGTCAGGGACCTACATGCTGGTGGCATTCTCTCAATGATCAGTATTGACCCTCCTGCTGAGCATTTGCAGGAACATGGAACATGGAGCTTTGTGCAGGGCATGGAGCTTCATGGTGGTGGGGCCCTGTGTGGAGCTGACAAATAGTCACTCACCTCCACTGGGCTCTTCTTTCCCCTCCCTCTTGGGCACACAAACATTCATATTGAAGAGCTGTAGTCCGAAGTGTTATGTCTACAGACAGTGGCAGTGGATAACCTTGTCAAGGCAGGGGCTCTAGGAGGATCCAGGTATAGATTGCAGGGGGACTGGAGGTCAGGGCTGTAGCTAGAGTTTGTGCATCTGTTGATTTCTGGGATCCTTTCCTGCTGAACACAAGGAAAGAGGGACCGCACTTCCTCCTCCCCTTCAGGGATATTTGCATTCAAGTGTTCCCGGGCCGAGGAAATCTTCAACCTCCTTCAGGACCTGATGCAGTGCAACAGCATCAATGTGATGGAGGAGCCGGTCATCGTCACCCGCAGCAGCCACCCCGCGGAGCTCAGCCCCCAGCCTCCCAACAGTGAGTGGACCCCACCCTTGGCTCCTAGCACACATACTTGTGCACACACTAGGAAATACAAGTGTCAGAGGTGCCCTGGCTGGAGGGAAAGCACGTGATAAACTGGCCTTTAAGACAGTCACCCGTCTTGGGCTGGGCAGCTCAAGTGACAACCAGGCCATGGAGGCCTGGACCTTGTGTGGATGGATGGTTGGAAGCTGAGAGGAAGACAGGTTTCCATGGAAACAGCAGTCTGGCACTTGTTTGCTTCCTTCGGTCTCTGGTCATACCCATGTGCCTTGATGTTTCTGGTATGGGCATCTCTAACTGTGGCCTCTCTGGGAGAGATTTGCACAACTTCTGTGTGTTCACTCACATTCCTTATTGAACCCCTGCTCTGAGTTTAGTGCTTCAGGGCCTGGGTCACGGAGGGCAGAAGAGATAGAAGATACAGGCCTTGCGTTTGAGGAGCTTCTTTGTAACCCACTGGTCAAGCTAGACAAAGAGCAGTCCAGTGACTTACAAGGAGGGCCTCAGATGTTTCAGATTCATACAAGGTGTAATGGAGAGGAAGGGATTCACACTGAGCTTTGTAAAGGGCAGTTTGAAGAGCAGGGAGAGAGCGGAGCATAATGGGGGAGGGCTGCCAGTCAGCGCCTACGCTGAGGCCCTGGAGAGCAGCTCCGCTCTGCCTGGGTGAGTCCCATGATGCTGCACGCACAGTTACACGTGGCATAGGTGCCCCTCACCAGGGTTGTCTCCTGTGCCCAGCTCTAGGCTATACCGTCTCCAGCTTCTCTAATGGCTTTGCCGGCTGCCCAGGTGAAGGTTCCAGGTTCTTGGCTCCCCGGCGCCCCTCAACAAGCAGCCTGCGACACCCCTCCCTTGGGGAGGAGTCCACCCATGCCCTCATTGCTCCAGATGAGCAGGTGAGCAAGCAGCCTCCCTGACCCGTGGGTGGACATGGGGCTCGGGAAATAATGGCCTCCTCCCTCCAGCATGGATTGTGGGAGCAGAAGGATGTTCATAGGGCCCATTCTTGTCCCCAGAAAGGGAGACGGCTTCCTGGAAGGATTGGAGGACCAGGAAGAGGAGGAACCCCCAACTCTCCTATTCTGTTCTCCTCTCTGATCTGCCTCTTTTCTTCTCTCCCTCCTCCCTGCCCTTGCATCTTCTCTCCCTCACTTGGAATTTTCCCCAGTCCCACACCTACGTCAACACACCGGCCAGTGAGGAAGACCACCGCAGGAGCCGCCACTGCCTGCAGCCCCTGCCTGAGGGCCGGGCCCCCTTCACCACGCAGACGGGGGGCCCGGACCAGCGGGACCCTCAGGTCTTCTTGCAGCCGGGCCAGGTGAAGTTCGTGCTGGGCCCTACGCCTTCCCGGCGGCACCTGATGAAGGGCCAGGGCCTGTGCCCCAGCCTGCATGACCCGCCCCACCACAACAACAATGAGGGCTCCTCTGAGTGTCCTGCCCAGCCCAAGTGCACCTACGAGAATGTCAGCGGGGGGCTGCGGCGAGGGTCTGGCTGGAGACTGAGCCCCGAGGAGCCAGGCTGGAATGGCCTCGCCCACCGTCGGGCCACCCTCCTACACTATGAGAACCTGCCCTCGCTGCCCCCTGTGTGGGAGAGCCAAGCCCAGCAGCTGGGGGAGGAGGCCGGGGATGACGGGGACTCACGGGATGGGCTCACACCCTCCTCCAACGGCTTCCCCGATTGCGAGGAGGACGAGACCCCGCTGCAAAAGCCTTCCAGCACCCGGGCCAACTCCCGTAGTCATGGCAACTTCCCTGTGCCACTGGCCCGCCGCCGTGGGTCCCCGCGTGTCTTCAACTTTGATTTCCGCAGGCCTGGCCCTGAGCCCCCAAGGCAGCTCAACTACATCCAGGTGGAGCTGAAGGGCTGGGGTGGTGAGCACCCCAAGGGGTCCCAGAACCCCTCAGTCCCCAACCCCTCTGCGTCTCGCAGCTCAGACTCCTATGCCGTGATTGACCTCAAAAAGACCGTGGCCATGTCCAACCTGCAGAGGGCTCTGCCCCGAGACGACGGCACCGCCAGGAAAACCCGGCACAATAGCACCGACCTGCCTCTGTAGGGCCGGCCTGCCGCCACCCTCGCCCTCGGCCGCCTCTGCCTCACGCTCCTGGCTCTTGAGCCCATCCCTGGGGTTCAGGGTTGCTTTGCAAAAGGGCATCGAGGTGGGGCCCAGATGCTTACCCACACTGGTCGGAGTCCCCAAAGATATCAGCCATTGCCTCCTGGTCTCCCCAGGGATGAGAAGAAAGCGGCCAGGCAAGGAGTGAGCCATGTCTCTAACTGTGAAGGGTTCCCGTGATTGCATTTAGCACCTTCCCCTGTGTCCACCCTCCCGTTATGTCTTGTCTGTCTGTCTGTGTGGTTTTTGGTTTTGTTTTCTGTTTTTTGGTTGAAATTTTGCAGCATTTTGTACCTGTTGATTTTATTTATCAGTTTATTTTTCTATTTATTGTTTTAAATGTAATTTAACATATTTATTAATATTACAATTATTTTTAAATTCTATCTCAGTGGATGATGTTACCTTTTTACAGACTCCCATCTGAAAGAGTTCTGTGATGGGATTAGAAGAAGCCTGGTGACCGGGCTGTTATAGGAATGGGGGTGGTTCTGGGGTTTTGTGGAAATTCTGTGACCATTTTCCATCTGGAGGCCCTGGTTCACTGCATGTGCCAGGGATGGATGCTTTATGGATGTGAAGTGGGAAACAGGACAGCTGGGATCCTCGATTCAGAAGGGGACCCTAAGGAATACTGCCTGGTGAGGTAAAACCTGATCCTCCGAGATGGGAGTGGGGGTTCCAGGCATATCTTCAAGATCCACCTTCACTGGACCCCTCACTGACTCAGCCTGCAGGCTCGAGCCCCTGTTCTCCTTCAGCTCCTTGGGCCAAACGTGAACCCTGGACCGCCCTTTCGTGTCTCCTCTCAGCACAGCTGGGTCAAGGCTAGAACCTTTAAGCAGGGCTTTACTAAAATCTCCGGGAATAGAAAAGGCCAGACCACAGGGTAATGTATAACTAGACAATCTGGCTTGCACAATGACTGTCCCCGGGAACTGACCCCCAGACGTGGACTCTCGAGGCACCTCCTCCTCTCACACAGTAGGGAAGGCCTCACGGAGCCACAGGTCAGAGCATGTCTGGGAGCCTGGGGTTTGCCCAGAGCTTTGTTGTGGGGCTCCCTTCCCCTGTCATGAGGAGATTCCTTCCTCTTCCTCCTCTAGCCTGTCTCCCTTCCTCCTTTTCTATCTCAAACTCCTATACAGCTAATGTAAGGGAAATCCAGTTTCTATGAGGAGCCACCAGAGTGCCTGAGGAGTGGGAAGACTTAAGGAAGAGCCTTCTTGTCTAGTCTCCATCTAGGCCTGGCTCTCCACCCAGTAAACAGGCTGTGCCCCACCTACCCTCCTCCCCCTTTGCTGCTTCCAGAACACCATCACCAAGGCCTTGGTTCCTGGGCCCCCTTCCATTAGATGAGATGGGACAGAGCAGTTTGTAGAATCCCCTGAACTTGGGTGTTGACCATTAGAGAACTTGTCAGCAAGGAATGACCGCAACAGGATGTAAGAGAGGCCCCTTCTCTTGGGGAGCCAGCAGGCCCTAGGGGACAAGGCCAGGACTCTTAAGGTTAACATGAAGCCCTTCTCTCTCTCACTTCCTTCTCTGTGGGCAGAGGGTCGCTGGCTGCAGGCTGGGTGCATTGTGGTTTTCTTGATGCTGTAGCTGACCTGGGTAGCATTTCCACGTCCTCACACACAACCCCTGCACCTCCACCTGGCTTCCGCAGTTAGCACTGTGCCCTCCGCCATGCAGGAGCATGCCTCCCAGCTGGGCTTGCAGAGGGGGTGGGCCCCGATTCCTCATGGACAGATGAGGCCAAGGCTGGCTGGAGTCAAAGACTCAGCCACTGCCTTTACTGCCTTAAGCATGTTATTCCCTGAGAAGTGCTTTAGTTTTCACACCTGGAAAACACAAGCTCTGAGAGGTAGCTCAAGAGATGGTGAACACAGCATCATTTTTGGAAAGTATGACTTATGAGCAGGTTATAACTGCTTCAGAGGGAGAAAAAAAAACCACAGGTCACAACTCCTCGGACCTCAGACTTGGGGTCCCCTGCTGCACCTTTCACAGACAACTTCTTCATCCCCTGGGCTTGGCAGATTCTGCTCTGTTCCCCGGGGCTCCCCACTCCAGGACAAGTGGTAACAGCTTCAGTGTGAGGCGTGTCCCTGGAACTGGCTTCCAGCCCAGCTTCTATGGTCCCCACCTCCCACCTCTCCTGTCCTTTCCTGGGGGTACTACCTCTGACCCACAAGGTCAGCGGCAGGAATTTTCCTCTAGCAGGGGTTTGTAGAGACTATTTTCCTGGCGGAAAGGGGTGGGAGTGACACGGGAGCAGGGAGCAACGGCTGCTCCCTGCTCCGGGCTGCAGCCATCAGGGTGTGGCTCACAGATGGAATCCGTTTCCATCACCACCGTGGTCCAAAGATCACCAGTATGGGTTCATGTTTGCTGAGTGCTCAGTTTTGTCTCTAGCAGCAGGCCCTGCCCACAACCCCGGGCTGGCCCTCCGCAAAGAAAGGATGGAGTCCAGCATCCTGTCCAGGAGTGACATTTCAGGTCAGACTGGGAGGGGCCCTCCCTGAGCCCACTCTATGTAGTAATAACACTTTACAATGATCTTTGCAACTGTGGGCTCTCCACAGGGCCCTATAGACCTCTTATCTCACTGGGCAGCATTGTTATCACCACCGTACTGAGGAGGAAACAGACCAGAGGTGAAGGGACTTGCCTCAGGCCATCAAGTTAATGAGTGGTTTTGTTGGGGGGCCGTGGGCTGGACTCTTTGGTTGGTCCTGTCTTTTCCCCATCACTGCTCCTGGCCTGGGAGAGTGTTGGGTGCCCTGCCAAAGAAGTAGGGGACAAGTCACAGTGGATCACAGCCCACCTTCCCTCTCAGGAACCAGGATTCCAAACCAGTGCCCCACTATTTTAATAACAAGGTGAACCTGTTCCCCCTTGAGGCCTGATTGCCCCCCCCCTGCAAACCAGGCCCCTCTATTTCCATTCTCTAAGTGGGCTGGGAAAACAGGTGCAGGAAGAGGCCGAACCTGCCCTGCCTCAGCCTCCATCTCCTGAGAAGCTTCTCCAACGCGCAGTCAGGTCAGGACATCTCCAAGTGTTGGGGTGCTGACTTAGGACCAATGTCTTTTATTATTATTATTATTTTTGGGTGTACCATCAAATCGGATCTGACTGGTACAGGAGGAGATTGTCCCTCCTTCTCCAGCAGAGCATCTGGTGGATTCAAACCACGAACTTCTGGGATTACAGTGTAGCTTCTTGCCACTAGGCCACCAGAGCTCTCCAGGACCAGTATCTTATTGGACTTCTCACTCAGAGGGAAGAGTGGTTTATAATGAGGAGCCGTGTGACGTGAGGTGGAGGAAGAGCTGAGGCAGGAGTGGGGACAGCCAGGTTGGTCCTTCAGGGCTGTGTTCACTGATCACACGGTTCACGGTCAGAGCTGATAGGTTACTGGGATCATCTGTGGATTCTTTCTAGAGGATTCCTGGAACGGTTTTTACCCTGCTACTCACCAACTCCCAAGCCCTCAGAGGACCCTGGATCTCTTGAACTCAATGCACTTTCCTCCCATTGGACTGTAATTTTGCCCCTGGATCCACAAATTACCAAAGGTGCTGACACTTGATGTCACTCTTACCAACATCTTGACCTCTTTGTGCCTCATTGTCTTGATGGGTCACATAGATAATCGTGCCTCACTTATGATTAAATGTTTTCCCAGTAGGACCTGAGGCAGCTGACGCCCAGTAGGAGCTCAGAACAGCAACCATTGTTCTTTTCACCTGAAGATCATTATTTGTAGCACAGCAAGGTGGCCACCCCTTTATGCTCTAGTTTGATCCTGGAATCTGGTTGGTTGGGTACCAGGTCTGGATGGCTGCATCAGCCCAGCCCCTTCCTCTGTGTAGATGTCCTGCTGCCAGTGCATCCTGGTTGGTATTCACTTCACCTGCCCTGTTGACTCTTGGAAACTTTAAAGCCCCCAAAGCTGATTCTGACTCATGGAAGCCTCCATAGGGGCTTGCTTGACTGAAACCTTTACCTATCGGATCACCAGGCTTCTCTTCTGTGGCACTGCTGGTTGAGTTCCAACCACAGGCAGACTTGAGACCTTAAAGCTCAAAACCAGCAGGTCTTATTCTCATAAGCAACTACTGCCATCCCCACCCTTCTGCTCCCATCTTAGAATTTTGGTTTAGAAATTAGGTTGTATGCTGAGTGAAATATCCCAGTCACAAAAGGACAAATATTACATGATGCCACTGTTGTAGAATGGGACTGTCCTTGGGGTTAGGGAGACACTGAGTAAGATGGGTTCAATAATGTATACTGCACTGAAGCAGAGGAGGGAGAGAACCGTCTAAAAGAGAGACGTAACTGGGTATTTCTGTCATCACAGGAGACTAGAGCGAGGGCTGCATGGTGGAGGGGACCTGGGGGAGGGTTTGTAAAACAATGAAAGAATCTTTTCTTTTACTTTTCCATAATTTTTGGACTCATGTACTTATAACTTGTTAGTCAAATTTGTGTCTTCTAGGTTGCAACACCCCCATGATACATCTTGAAGGATATGTACATGTACAGCCAAGCACAATCAATAAGAGTGCATCTGAATTCCAAAATCAATCTCCATAATAGTCTATGTGTTTCCTACTGCCAAAGGGGCCCTTTAGAGTAGTGAGAGAAGATCTTCACCCTGAAACCCACAGCGTCCCTTTTCAGCAGGAAGTAGCTAAGAGAATACGCCATCCCCTTTTCCTTATGACTCAGGGTGAAGTCTCTCTCAGGGAGGAGTGATAGGGAATGGCAAAGGACACACTGACAAAGAAGATTAATCAGAACTGGCTTTGACAAGCACTGTGGCATTTGGACAAGAACAAACTGGGAGGAGGGTAAAGAGAATAGTGCAACAATGAATGAGTGGAAGCCCAAAATCTCTGTAAATGTTTATGAAAATTAATAAAATATAA